GTATGTAAGTCGCTTCTGACTACGAGATGCAAGACTAGACAAACTATGAAAAAAAGTGTGACTTCATAGTCCGGAAAATATGGTAATTTGAAGTACAGTTCAAACATTCAGCACCCCTCGCCTGAATCTGGTTTATGTCAAAATTTTGGGCTTAATTGTGCTTGTTTATTTCGGAAAGACTGGAAAGGGAGAAAAAAGGGTGTGTGTGTGTGCATGTGTGTGTGTTGACCTTCATCAGTGAGCGACTCCATGGATTCTGTGACCTGGTTGGTTCTGTTGAGTGAGTCTGTGGACTGAGAAAGGTAGCGCAGGCCTTTGATGGGTATGTCATCAAATGGGCTGAAAGGGGAAATGATCAAAGGTTAGAAAAAACAAAACAAAAAGTAGATCTGCGTCATCATTCTGCCTAAATGTGAACATTTCCTTCAGACGACGGACAGCGGCTCACCCTGCGATGTTGCTAATCGAGAGGCTCTTTGACAGATTGTTTCCAGGGAACGTCATGATGCTGGTGTGTCTCCGTGATCCTGGCATCATCAGGGGAAGATTGTCTTCGGGGCTCAAGATGGCTGACCTGGGACGGTCCCTCGTCCCACCAGCTGGAGGACAAACCGTCACAATCACAGTCAGACCCCGAAAAAACTGAAACAGAGTCTAACACGTCTAATCCTTTACCTGAAGCGGTTTTATAAAATCGGGCTAAAACTCATCGTTCACATCTTACTGCATCTTTGATCAGCGACGCTTTGTTTTTATAACGCGCATGCAGAAAGCACACTTCCTACTGCTGCAACGTTGCAGCGCACAGCTGTTAGAAAAAGAGGCAACCAACACACACACACAAAAATCTCAACTTTCTCGGTTAAGAGGTTCAAGAAGCGTGGGCGGTGACTCAGCCAATGCTGTTTACAAAGGAAGTAAACACACTCCTGTAAAATATCACTTTGCCGTCTAATGAGTCAACATAGTCCATCTTTAAACAAACTGCCTTGTTTAAAAGCTGACAGGTCAAGCATGTTCTTATTCTTAAGCAGCAATTCAGCACAAAAAATATTCAGTCGTAACAAATTAATTAGAATACTCGTGAAACGTCCATTTATTTCAGTAATTTTGTGCCTAAGTGAAACACTTGATATTCAATTCGTCTGATTTTAAAACATCCCAAAGGGAAATTAAACGTCGTCGTAACTTGTGTCATCCGAGAATCTACAGAGAGTCGCTGTGGATGGTGATGCTGCGGGCAGGAAGGATCTCTGGTAGCGGTCAGTCTTGCAGCGATTCTGAGGAAGCCTCTGACTAAAGACTTTTATTTGCGGTGTGGGACAGAGATGGTTTGAACTCCCTTCTCTCTCTGCATCCATGAAGCCTCCCTTTTCAACTGCTCAGGGATTTAGGGTCAAAGTTCAGGTATTATGTGAGCTTCTTAGATGCTAATCAGCTGATCTCAGTTGGGAAAACAATACTTGGCTGCCATGGTTACGCATCATAATTGTCTGAAAGTTAAATCAGACCAACAAAAATAAATCCATTTCCATACAGAAATGTAGACCTAATGAAGAATGCGTTTGAAATGTTATTTTCAAAAGGTACTTTCAATCTGTTGAATGAGCCTCTTTTGAAGTTTATTCTAATATATTGCGTAAAACTGTATATCATCAAGTTTGTCTCAGATTTAGCAATTTTGCAAAGAACTGACACAAATTTCAGCCAAGATGAGCAAAGGAGACATAAACATGTCTGAAAAAGACATCAGGTGGTGGTCCTACTGGTATTGACTTGTTGTATCAGAACAAACAATAAACTTTTCTGACTTTCTTTTTCTGCACGAGAATATTTTAAAAGCAATTATTTTCCTTCTACTTCACGAATCTGCACTACTTTGTACTGACAGAAACCCCCCACACCCAAAAAAAAAAACAGAGAAGTTTTAGGTTGTAATGTGACAAAATGTTGACGACTAATTCAGACTTTTGGTGTCATAAAATATGGACAGAATATTATGAGCTGAAGCTCAGAAGCCTCAGCTGATCTGCAGGTCACCGTGGCTCATCTCTGCGTTTTCAACCTCAATGCAACACAACAAAGTCCAACAGCAAACCTTTGTCTCACTTAAAAGAAAGCCAAATTCACCTATTTGGAAATATTTCAAGTCATAAAAAGACATGATAATAATAATCAATAAAAACAAAACAAAAAAACATTAAATTATAACATGGTTGTTTTCTAACAGTGGGTGCATAATTGTTGAATTAATAATGCACAGAAGAAATATCGGATTAGATTTTGTTTTACATTTTTGCACAAATACTTTGATATTTACTATTATTTACCAGGTGGGAGTTTTATATCCATGGTGCCCATTCATAATGCTGATGCATAAGAAAACATACATTCAATATAGCAAAAATGAATGCGAAAGAAAAATCTGAAGAAAAAATTTCCCAGAAATGTGTGCAAAGCTCATATCCTGCTTTTGTGGAAGTCTATCAGAAGCATCCGAAGCGCAGTGCAGACAAAACAGCTAAACGAAAGTGCTAAAGCTCACTTCTGCTATTACGTTATTTCCCTTTATTGGAAACGTATAGGATTCTCCGCCAACTTTGCACTGTGCAAAAAAAAAAAAAAAAAAAAAAAAAAAAAAAAAACCCATAACTGACGGCGATGATTATTCATTCAAGTCCAGTTTAGTTTGACACTCACCTTTGTTCCTCATTGTGACGCCAGGAACAGAGCATGGTGCGCTGGAATCTGGCACTGTAAACTGCTGTTTGGGCAACTAAACAGAGAAACGGGGGATAAAAGCATGGAAACGAAAGGGAAAAAGAAGAAAAAAAATCGATTTTGGCTGCAGGACAACACAATGCTACAGGGTCAGTGGAGGAGAACCGGCAGGGGAAAAAAAAGTTTTACCTTCATCTTCACGTTGGCACAAACAGGCATGCTGTCCCTGCAGCCCTTGTGGACGGATGCATTACAGTCTGGAAAGAAAAGCAACATAGTGAGCTTGGTGATTGTGTGTGTGTGCATGTGTGTGTAGGGAAGAGGGGGCGGGGGGGAAATGGGAGCAAGAAATTCTGACTGGTGTTCACAGTCAGCCAGGAAACTCCACCAGCCCGCTAATGAAAGCCAGACTGGAGCGGTGTGTGTGATGCAACTGAGGGGCAATACTGCTCTTGGAAAAAGAAAGAAAAAAAAAAGGATGGGCTTTGACGCACACACATGTATACTGCACTGCATGGGAAAATCTCAATTATGTAAACATTCCCATATCCATCATTTAGTCACAAAAGTCATAATTCATGGCTGCTAAAATAAGCCCTGCCAGCGTAACCTGAACCAGTTCAGTCACTTTTGCCTGTGTTCTTGGGGAACTCGTGCGAGGTTCTGATTGGTTCGCCAGTCCTGCTAATTTTCACACCGAAGCATTTCCACTGAAGACTTCATCAGAGGTGTTGCGCAACTTAACCCCACACCCCCGCCGGAGCATCGTCATCCTCGCGGGGCGCATGCAACGTTTCCGCTCTGAGGATTACATCAGTAAACAAATGCTCTCACTGAGGGTGAGAAGATAATAAAGACGTGAATGTAAAAGAAAGGCAACGACGCCATCAGTGGCTGGTTCCGATTGTTCCTTTTCTAACTTACAACATTATTGGGTGTTTTTTTTGTTTTGTTTTGTTTTTTCATGTGGACGTCTAAGCAGATCCAGAAAACAGGAGACAAAGAAACACTGTATTTGTCTGCTGGATGGAAACCAGCCAGACATCTGCGAGTATAAACCTCCTGAAAAAAATCTGCCTCACAAGGCTCTGCAGCAGACTGCATGCAAAACAAAAAGGGCTGTTTCTTGTCAGCTGAGTATCTGAGGCAGAATGTGACCATTCAGAAGATGGCTGTAATCCATCGCAGAGCTCGTTTCTCCTTTTGAGCTTTTTTGCTTTCCCTCCCCCCTCCCCTCTTGTGCAATAAGCTACATCCTCTTCTGGTTCTCCAGTGAAAAGCAAAATTAAAAATGGCTTTGTTTTCTGTGCCGACACCCTGATGGGGCCGATTATGAAGTAGTCCTCCAGGAGACGAGTGTGCAGCTACAGCAGCGATTTGGCAAAGCACAACAATGAGATGCAAGAAGGATGCTAAGAATGGCCACCGTAAGACAAACGGAGCAACATGTTACTCACGCTGATAGCTTTGCCCAGTGATACAAACACAGATAGCAATAGCGTCGTTATATCAGTCGTTTGGCGTTGTGGGCAGGATTTAATGACGAGGACCGGCTCACTGTTCGGCTGGTTTTTTCTACTGCACATTTAATGATGGTACATTGCAGATAGCTAAGTAGGGGGCAACAGCAACTAACTAGTTGCTGATTTCATTTAAAAAATCAGTTATGATAAACTGAGCTGCACTGATCATATGTTGCCATCAAGAGTTTGTGTATCTACAGTCAATGAACAAGGGAATTCTCACCCCTCTTTTCTGTCCACACCTGCTTTAAATCTGAAATATTTGAGCGTTTTCAGGCATTAAATGCCTGAAAAAGTGTAAGTGACATCTTGATGGATGTGCATCAAGATGTCACTTACACTCAAGTTTGACTTTGACTAGACCACTCCAACTTTTTCCACTTTGAACTGAAGCACTATATGTCCATAACTTTTGTCTGATTTTTGAAACAAAATTCAGTTGCGGACTGGGAATAGTGGGACTTCTTAGTGTTGAAACAGTTAATTCAGAAAATAGAATCTGATTCCTGAATAGATCAAAGATTTCCAGCAATAAACAGCACAAGACTGACATCACAAAAAAAACAAAAAAAAAAAAACAAAAAAACATCACGTCATTAAATCAGCAAAACAGACAGAAAAGGTACTTACATGTACAACAGAATGCCTCTTTGCCATTAAAAGCTTTATTGCACTGGGAGCACTGGAGGAACTGGTTTGAGCTGACAGGCGTGAAAATGTGTCCGTTCACGGCCTTCTTGTCCTTCTCCTTGCTTTCTTTGTCTTTGTCCCTTTTGTCTCTGTCTTTTTCCTGAGGGAGGAAAGTTGCTGGAGTTATTAACGTGACTCATCTCTGACTTCGCTTCCACAATTAACTGGGAACACTTTCACCGGCAAATTGGAAATTTGAGGGAAGAATGAGACTCCGAGTGAAGCCTGGGTTGCTCTCGGAGAGGACTCGCGCGCCAGACGCTGACAAAATGTTTCACTGGTTGGTCGGTGGCTTATGTTAAATTTCAATCTAAACCCCACGGAGCAACATGATTGCTCTGATGTGCTTCCCAGCAGGGGGGGAGGCAGGCAGAGGGAGGATGGATATTAAGTGATGCAATTTTTATGTAGTCAACAAAGTGTCTTATTAAAGAACTTTTAAAATAACTCTTTTTTTTGTAAATTGTTTCTATACGTCAGTGTTTAATATCTAGGAAATGTAAATACACAACTATGACTATTGTTATAGACAATTTTTATTTTTTATTTTGGTCATCATTTAGGGTTAGATAAATAATAGAAAAGTCATATTTATATATCGTTGCAAAAGAGCTCGCACGTTTTCACCTTTTGTCATGGTATAACCGCTAAAAGTGGCTAAAAATTTTAAAGAGGAAGGAAAATCAATTCCAATAAACATCTGTATAGTCCAGTGGTCCATTCAGAGCTGCAAGTCCAATGGGCTGTGTCGTCTGCAGTGGGTCTGTCGCAATAAGCAATAAATCAATTAATCGCATGACGAATTAAAATGAGCTCACACATTTCCATTTGCGTGATTTATCGGGTTTTTTTTCTTCTCTTATCTCTTTCTACCAAAAACTGAATGAAAAACGTCTCGAGTCTGGTGACTTGATCTTAACGAGCTCTTATTTTGAAGGACAATTTTATCTGCATGTGTCGTTTCTGTTGTTTTGCTTATTTATTTGGAATATTTAAAATTTCTTCTTATATGCCAATTAGAAATGAAAGTGTATTGATCATTGAGAAAGCCATCACCATCATTTTACTTGAAAATGGTCTCAAAAACAACGATATCATGGTTTATCGCAATAACTTCTGGGACAATTCATCGTCCAGCAAAAGTTTGTTATGGTGGCAGGCCGAGAGATGATCACAAAATGGTACCAAAACAAAACAAAACAAAAAAAATAACAAAAAGTGAAAGAGTGAACAAGGAGGAGACGGATCCATTGGATTTGAGGAGCTTTGATGTAGCCTCCCAGACATCTCTGACCTTCTCCACAACAGGGTTGCCTCTTTCTGCTGCTCCCCTCCGCTGATGGACAAGCTCATCCTCAAGCAGCCCCATTCACACACACACGCGCACACACACCGAAACTGAATCACAATCCCATAAAGTGATGCAGAAAAGAACAGAGCCTTCATTCTTTTGGATTTGCATCACAGAGTCTCCACCCAAACCCAGAGGAAATGGGGAAAATGGAGTTTTCCAGCTCGTTTTTAATGGGCCAGCCCTGAGGCCTCTTTCTCGGTTTGCGAGGACCACAGAGCTCCGACGTAGCCGGGCTAATTTTCGCTCGGTTTTTAAAGATGCCAGAGAGGCTAAATGAGCCACGGCGTGTTTCGGAGCCGTTGCAACACAACTGTCTTCAAGTCTCACTTTCTGCAACAACAACTGTCAGATCGGAACTAAAACGCTCTCTCAGATTTCCATGACTTCCAAAAACGGTAGCTTTCAAGCATTTGGAAACCCCTTTTTGATGAGAAAATTCACACAAAAAAATCTATTTGCTGAAGCAGAGAAATCTAATAAAAAAAGAGAGGGAATGCGAGAAGTTTTTTGGCTACAAGAAACCTCCTCAGGATACATAACAGCCTGTGACGTCTACAGCACAGATTGAAAACAAAGAGACATTCTAGTGTAAGAAAGTCTAACAGACTATGACTTCACTGGAAAATAAAGACGAAAAGACAAGCCGCCACAGAACAGAACTCTTTAAACATGATCTTCTGACAACCACTAAGCTTTCTCTCTCTCTCTTTTTTTTTCTTTTACTGCGATGTGACTGGAAAAGCAGAGCGGTCCTCTCAGCCTACCTCCAGGCAACCTTTCCTTCTCAGCGAGAAGCCGCGGCTCCCCGAGAACCTCCCGTACAACATCCCTGGTCTGCGGCCCGAGGGGCACAGTCTACAGCCGGCAGAGCCGAGGCTCCATCAGGAACTTGGGCAAAGAGGAAGTGACTGCCGCGCAGCAGGAGGTGCTATTTCTGCAAAACGAGCCGTCAGTGCGGAGCGGACGCTGTTGCAGACTGCAGCGACTACATCCTCTTCCACCGACGTTCTCACTTTCGGTGTTCGTGCAGAAGAGCAGAGCCGAGAGAGGCTCTAAGGGTTTTAAACCTGGTAAAGACTGACCGCAACTCAACGGGGTTTGGCAGAATCGTCACAATAATCGTCACAACAGCACCGAGTTGAAACGAAATTAAAGTACAATTTTGGTTTGTGGATGATTTGTTTTCATCCCAACCACAGGCTGAGGCGGCACCTTTTGGGGTCCTGTCACTTTAACAGCAAAATGCAATTGAGAGGTTGGAAAACATTACAGCAAGTTTTTGTCTTCCTGTTTTACTTCCTGTTCACCCGTCGGCGTCTCGGTACATGGGGGAGCGGGCGGCTTTACAGAAACACGGAGGCAGAGATTGCTAAAAACTCTCTGGTTTTCCTGTTGTGAAAAAAATAAAACCAATCTGATCGGAGTTCATCAGAACGCCACATCCGAACCCGCGGGTGACGTCAGCGCCGCCGAGATACGGGTAATAGGAATTGTGTGGGTTAGAATTATTTATAATTGAATCATTTTCAAATTTGAGCATTGTAAGAGGCAGGAAAGCCCACTTCCTGTTGAGGATATGAACGCTTTGCTGATAATTCTCATTCTGTGTAACAAGGACACACCATGAGGTCATCCATGGTTTGTCATCCCTCCTATGTGATTCAATGAGAGCCATGTGAGAAATGATGACAGAAGCAGGACAAATGCATCAAAACATATTTGATCCCCCCTCCCCCCCAACAAAAAAAATAAGATTACTGATTAGAAAATATTAAAACGTGTCAATAAATATCATTTGATTTCCTCAAAAACATTCCACAGTTTGAGAAACATTCCCAAAATCTTAATTTTTTTTCTGTGATGTTTACAATTTCCAGATTTAATGAATTATTTTCCGTTTTCTAAATAGACCAAAACAAAGTACTGCATATTTGTGAAGAGGAAGCGAATGGTTATCAACTTTGTTTTTTGTTATTTTGGTTTGTTACAAACAAAAATCTGAAAAGTGTGTCAAGAAAATGTATTCAATCCTCCGGGGTCAAAGAATTTTTATACATATTTTTTACATCTGTGGAGACAGAAGTTGACAAGTTGTGTCCTACTTTGTGTCTTTCCATCACATAAAATCCCAATAAAATACAGTTCAGTTTATGACTGTGGTGTGACTAAAATGCTACTCATCATGCCTTGGAAAGTTATTTCTCCCCAAGGCAAAAGAAAGGTAACCCAGAGCTCATCTCCATTCAGAGACTTGTATATTCGGGACCACAAAATGAATAGTGAACTCCAAAAGCAGCGCCTGCTGGGGAAGTGTGAACAGGAGGAAGTTACAAGCCCTGAAGCGCGACACGTAACCACCAGCTGTTCAGAAGAGGAAGCAGATCCCTGGGTGAATGTGGACGCACCGCAGCGGAGCCTGAAAAGCAACCTGCTGCTCCCTCGCTCTCTGCTTAAAAGGGATGTTTATGTGAAGAGGTGGCTACGGTCTACCCAAACACACACACTAAAAATAGGTCATCCACACGCGGCGAGGCAGTCATTTCGCTTACCCGCGTCTTTTTGTACATCTTGTTCTTGAGGTAGCTGAAGGTCCGGCTGACTTTGGTCGTGTTCCTGCCCTCCATGTCGCTCCGCAAAGGCCCCGGCTCTTCCTCCGATATACTGAAATGCAGGCCAGCGTTACTTTGCAGCCTGCGCAACATGCCGGCTCACACATTCACTCAAGACGCGTCTTTACAACGCCATAAAGGTCCAGCCGGCCGCTTCTCCTCGACTCCTCTTTACGGGAACCATAAAGGCCGTCGTGGGTGTAGACGAAAAATTAAAAAATAAAACCAAAAGAAGGATTTGTTCATAATGTGTGTGAACTAACCTGTAAGCTACCGACCCGGAGGGGTGGGAAAACAACCTCAAGCCTGGAAGGAGAAAAGGCAGCAAGTGAGGAGCAGAACTTTTTTATTCATTATTTGAAATTATTATATTTTTTTTGTCATGTCGGGTGGTAAAAAGGTGAGCAGGACAGAGCAGGATTGACCTTTTGTTGAGTATACTGGCTCACTAGTAAAACATTTTATATTCACTGGAGCTGAAGGTTGTCAGGTCAAGTCCTGGCTGCGAGGATTTGGCCGGGACACGGACCGAGCTACTTCTAATGCTTGAAAGTGAGCTGCTTAGCCCTGAGGAACCCCCTGCAGAGCGAGGGCAACGCGCTAATGGAGAGGCCGAGGCCGAGAGCTGCAGGCAGTCTGCCTTTCAGTTCAGCGACACTCGGTCCCAAAGGGCCGTCGGCTCCAAAAAGTCTCCGGCTGCTTGAGAGGAGCGGCTTCAAAAATGCATTTGAAACACTTTAAATATTGAAGATTCATTGTTGACGGTTCAGATCGTCACACAGGGTTCCAGCCGTCTGCAGTTTTACTAAATTTGTCGCCGCTGTTGAAAACTTGCAGTCTGGAAAAATGTCCACTTTTTATTGCAGTGGTGTAATTTCACAAACTTTTCATTTGACATTTATTCAATGTTGTAAAAAAAAAAACATGTTAAGAATTAACATCTGAAAAGCTGTTATTTTGCATTAACCACGATTTGACGATTCAGAAAAATAAATCTGCTTAATAAAACAACGTATGTCATGTATGTCAATATATATATGTCTGTATATGAAGAAATCCATGCAATTGCAAACGGCTTTAAGTCAATTATTCCAGTCATTTTTAAATGAGGAACATTCAGCTTCTCTCAAAAATAAACATTCTTCTCAGTTTTGTGAAGTGCGTGAAAACCCACAAAGGACAATGTAAGCAAAATGAAACAGAAAACAGCAACAGAAAGAGAGTAGAGGAGAGAGGTGAAGGTTTGGTCTGAAGAAGACAGGCCCACATGTATCCTCAGATAACCTGCAGCACCTCTGACGGTGCTTTTCCTCTTCTATCTCGTGATATTGCTCCAGTTTCTTTTTTTTTTGTTTTTCTCAGAAAAAAGACGACACCAAAGGCCAATTCACGGAAAGGTCATGCTGCCACTGTCTGCATGTGACAGAAGCAGCCGAGGTCCAATTCAACACGGCCAAACAGAATTTATCAGCATAATGAATTCAGCACACAGTTCACAAAGGAGCAGGTTTGCTTTTCTTCCTCCTCCCTTCAAGGATCGATCAGTAGATTTATATGAGTAGTAATTAGTATTCTCCTTTTGACTGATGGTTGGTGCTGCAGCTCAATCAGCTGCCATGTTGCCTTCAGCATTGTTTTAGAGGAGCCAATCCTACACTGGACAGGAAAATGATGAAAACCCAGAGGACTGAACTCAGGTTTATATTAAAATTGTTTTTTTTTGTTTGTTTGTTTTTTTCAGCCTCTCTTAATGCCAGACAGTTTTATGACTCCTTTAGAAAGGAGAAGCCTCCCTCACCCCACACCTGCACAGGTGGGAACAGCAGTTTTAATCATGGTTCATTACACTCGGGTGTAGCCAGCGTTTGAACAGAGAGGAGGAGGCGGGTTTCTAGAGCTCTACTGGGAACCGCGACTGCTGTGGGTTTAAAAAAAATCTAGTTTCTACTACAGCCACCTTTGCCGTCTGGTACTCACTCGAGTCATCCGCCTCCTCCTCTTCATCGTCACTTGACGAAGAGTCCCCGTAAATGAACTGAGTCTTAGATTTGGTGAGGATGGGGGACAGGTTGAAAGAGAAGGAAATGCGCCTCTTGCGTCTCAGGCGTCCCACCGCTGGGAGGCGCAGGGGCGGCAGCAACGAGGGAGGAACCACAACAAGCACTCGTCATTTGCTCAAAGCGTGTAACTGTGGTACCGCTAATAAGTCGGTGTATTCTTGGTGGTTCTTATTTCAGGAATACACCCAAGTGTTGGTAAACTAGATATGAAGTCAATTTTGGTTCGTTTCTAAGTAAAGTGTCTCGTCTCCTGGGTTTTTCTCCTACGCCTTTTTCACCTTACATCCACAAAATTTTATATATTTTTTGGGGGACTTGACAGCTGAAACTGAACCCTGACAACAAAATTTGGGTCATGCAGATATACCAAAACTATTTCTACTTGCTAAATGCCAGAAGCAAAATGTTTACACACATTCCCTCAGTATTTGGTAGCGTTGTCTTTGAACTGTATCTTTGCACTGGTTTGATGGCCACACCAAAACATTGACTTTGTCGTCTTTAAGCCACTTTGGCTTTACAGCTTAAGGTTGTTGTCCATTTGGAAGACCCATTTATGCCAAAGTTTTACTGCCTGGTTTATGTCTTTAGATGTTGCCACAGGTGTGCCTCTAATTAACGCAAATGTGTCAGCCAACATATCAGAAGTTTCCAACGTCATGACATCATCTTCTGGGCTTTCCCTCGTTGTTTCAGGGGATTTATTCTGAATGTAAACTTCTAATTTTGAAGACATTAATAAATACATCTGAGACATATTTTGCCCTTAATAGTGTGGCATTTAGCAAATGGAAATAATTTTGGTAAGTCTAAGTGACCTAAAACCAGAGACGTTTGGTCTGATTGAACTTTGTTCAGCTTGAAAAAAATGTGTATATCTGTATATGTAAATCCTGTGTTTCCACTGTATGCCAGTATTAAGTCAGCTTCACTCTAACATCTAAATAAAATGCAGGCCAACCAAACTGTGAAAAAAAGTCTGTCACATCCTAAATGCAACACAACATATCCACTGTGAAATATGGCGGCAGCAGCATGATGCTGTGGTCGAGACCTAAATTCAATTATAAATGCATGAAAGGACTTGAAATGTTCAGTTTATGGTCAATCTTCATCCACGATGGCTGAATTTAATATTAACTGGCAGAAATTCATGTCAGAGTTGATGAACACAAACAAATAGATACTTTTATTTGTAAAACATCTAAACTTGTATCATGTCTCCTGCCACTTCAGTTGTGTTCTACTTCGTGTTGATCTACTAAATAAAAGTTTGCAGTTTTAAACAGAGAAAATGTGGGCAAGTCTTAGGGTCCGTGATATAGGAAGTGATTTTCAAAACAAAATACTTAGTGATTTAAAGACACAGGGTGTCACACTGTCTTTAAATGATGAAAATACAAAGAAAAAAGAAATCAACCTATAGAAAGAAAAGAGGCTGAAAATTTAAAGAAAGGCCAAAGAAATCATAACTCAAGTGTGAACCCAACGTGAGGAGAAACACTCACCATCACTGTCTTTATGGCTGATGGTGACCATGGAAACAGACTTGGTGAGTGGAAGGGTCATGGAGGGACAGCTGTTCCTCAGCGGCCGATACCGCCGCAATTTCTGCGTCGTGAAATACAAAGTGTCCATCAGAACGGCGGCGCGACAATGTCAGAGAGGATGCAAACAGAGGCAGGTAAACTGGAAACAGGAACAATAAACTAAAAGGGGAAACTCGATGTTTGATTTGTGGTGGTTATGTTCATGATTTGCTTAAAAGTCACTAAGTGAGGAGGAATCAAACAACCAGAGGACAATGACGATGAGTAGTTCTCACTAATACCCAAAGTGACGTTTCCCCGCCTTGTTTAGAAAATCTTTATCTGTTCCGATGAATTTCATGAAGTTTGTATTACAAAAGTCTGAGTCAGGAGTGTCCAAACATTTTGTCGCATAAGTAAAAATCATCAGGTCAAAAGACAAAAGAAAAGGCTAAAAAGGAAGCAAAAAAAGTTACCTTTTCTAACCTACTCAATAATCAACTAAGTAGCAATAGTTTAAATGAGTAAAGTAGGATATAAATTAGTGTAGATCCAAAATGTCCACCAGCACAGCTCACTTAAACACACCGATAACTTCACAAGTTTGGTCACACATGTAAAAATAACACAATTAGGAGAAGAACACCCAATATAGAATAATTAATAAAGAAACTTAAATGGACTAAAAAAAATAAGTTAGTTTGGTGAAATAAATGAACTGCAACAAATCTTCTTTCAAATGGTTCAGAAAGTGTAATTAAAAATTCTAAATTTAATGTAAAATAAATAATAAAACGGCGTCACTCAGAGCACAGAGCATAGAATTAGGATGAATAGATCTCCCCTTAAGGGACATGTGTCATCAATACCCCATCTAGAATTGTTTTCAACATTGCGACTGATCCAGATATAAAGATCGGATCGCTGCATCTCTAGAACATAATGACGCATTTTGTTGTCAGTTTTGAGTAATAAAAAAATCTGATTTAGGTCACTTTTACTGAGAAGTATGTAGCAGAGTTTGATAAATTCATTAAAAGCATCAAAGCCTGTTGGATAGAAGTGCTTTGTGCAGTAGCCAAAACTTTGTATTAACACTTTCTTTCAATAAAAAGTTGAACTGGGAGTTGTGGGCCACACAGAATCAGTCCAGGTGCTGCAGTTTGGACACCATTATGCAAGTCATGTGTGTATGCATGTGTGTGTGTTTCTGCACCAACCTGTTCCTGCAGCCTGCTGTCCTCCTCCCGCTCCTCCTGCTCTTCCGTCAGAGACACCAGGGAGCCCCTGTCGTCGCTGTTGTGCCGGGGCATCCTGGAGCGCTCCAGGTCGCGGGGCTCCTGGATGGTGGAGCCCCTTAGCTCTTCCTGGATCCCACTGAGCCCTTCTAAGCTGTAGCTGCACAGAAATACACGAAACCCGACATGTAAACACACTCCTCCAGGTCTCACCGAACTATTCATCAGGTCTTTCTGGAGATGTACAATTCCTGCAGCACACTGAAATGAATGCATGCACCTGTTGTCTCACACACACACACACACACACACACACACACACACACACACATATACACAAAGCTGGGTTCTGCACAGTGTTTAGTCAGCTGAGTTATCGCCGGCCTCTGGGGCAGATTTACAGGCGAAGCAGCTGCAAATGACTTCCAACATTGGCATCGGCACGGAGGGCTCCGCAGCTGTGATTTACAACCCCAATTACATCGATCTATGACTGCGAATGAGAGGCCCTGAAAAAAAAATCCAATGCAATGATTATGGGGAGGAAAACTACAGCTACATTTCAGAATGAGCTATGCTAGCAAGCTGCGGCTCAGTCTGCTTCAGTAAATCTCTCTCTCTCTCCCCTTTTCCTCCAGCCTCTCTGGTGGCAGTGTGGGCTCCACGGTATCCAGCAAATCACCTGACCCGACACTTTCAAGCATCACTAACCGAGGGCTGGACTGAAAGAATCATCATCGGCAACCGGCCCCGGTAATCCTCGGGGTCAGGGAGGCGGACGGCTACATCTGTCACGTTAAAACCTCCGTCCTGACTCAGGATACTCACCCCTACAGACCCAGAAGTTCCTTCATCCTGAACAACACCTGCAGACTCTGCTGTGGCAGTAGGAACTGACAAAGCTGAAGTTGCACACAAAGGAAAACACGCCCATAACAACGGCTCATGCAAATCAAGTCGGTTGTAAAAGCGCATCATTTAAAAGCGGTCGTGTGTTCCGAGCCGACTCAGAGTAACGGATGAGATGTTAGAAGTTTTTTTTTTTTGGGTGTTGGAAGGTTGGAGGGGACAACGAGGAAGTGGGAAGTGGAAAAACAAAAACAATTTTAAAAATGGCACGTGGAGTTTACAGCATAATCAGACAAGAGGAGACTATTTCTGATTGGCTGGACTGAATGTTAAAGTCGCATGTTGTAAGCGCCGTCTTTGAGGAGGCATGCAAAAAGACATATACACACACATTAGGGTTGAAACGATTAATCAGATTAATTGCGAATAACCGATTATTGAAATAATCGTCAACTGAGTAATTGATTAGTAGTTATCTGGAGTGTTCAGACTTTTAAAAAAAAGCTAATTAGCTGAAAAAACACCACGCTCAAAGCAGTAAATAAGACACATTTATATAAAAAAAATATATATGCATTTGGAATTTAAGACTTAAAAAAAAGCCTTCGTATGTAAACATGTTCTACCCAGAACTCCTGAAGCAGGATAGTTTTAACTTCATCTGGCTAGAATTCTGTTAGAAAAACATCTATTAAGCACCTTTTATCCCCACTGTTAGGTCAAGCCGAACAGGCTGAACTTTTCACATGTTGATGTTAGAAGCATTATTTTTAGCTGCAGATGCTTCCTTTGCTACAAATGATCAAGCGTTCACTACCGGAATGCGATCTTATTGCATTTTGGGCAATAAAATGTTTATTTTCTTACTTTAAGAAGGAATTTCTATGTTTATTAGCATCATTTAATGTATTTCTAGTATTGTTTTAGTGGTTATATGAAAAATTAGCAAAATATGATAATTTTTGATGATTCATTTGATCATTCTATTGGTTAATCAAATAATAGAATAATCAATTACTAAAATAGTTCTCAGTGTTTATTTGAAGAAATAATCTATTGCAACTAATGAGTTATTGTTTCTGCTGGACAACAAAGTAACTGCTCCATCTAGCCTGCTTATGAGAACACCTTTGGTCAATTATCACTCCAGATTGGGCACTGCCACCGGTTCCCTGGTGCAAATCAAGAAAGATTTGCCATGGATGCTTTCTGCACTTGTGTTTATAGTGACAGAATGCAAAAGAAAAATCAAACTAACTCTGACAATAAAGCCACAATAAGCTGGGCACCAGGAGCAACACTGCAGCCCCGACTGCTCAGCGAGACAGATGTGGCCATATGGTTGCCGCAGCGACCTACTACAATGTGACACATGTCTTAATTAGAACCTGGCAGATGGCATTACTAATGTGTGTCCATATCTGGATTTATCACACTCTGCAAGAGGGAAAACTGAGTGGCCAAATTTGAGAAAGATTAATGCCAAAAAAAAAAATGTAGGGCCAGAACTAAATTATTTTAGGAATCATTCTGACCATCAATTAATCATATAAAAACAATGGCACATTGTACAGATTTTAAGTCTTACTTACACAATAAGAGATCAACTTAAAAAGATGAAAACAAGTAATTCAATTCCTTTTTTAAATAGGAAAACAATCAATTTATTGCCCAAAATGCAACAACACAGGATTCTTTTAGCAAATCTGAACCAGGTGAAGCTGAAACTTTACTAATTGAGGAGTTTTGGCTAAAACCTATTTGCAGACAACTGTGTTTTTATCTTAAATGCAAAATGTATGTGTATATATATTTGTACAGTTTTGGTTTAATTACGGCTCTGAATATATTGATTTTTTTCAGCAAATTAACTTTGTTGAGTCTGTATACAGCAGCTAAAGACTAATCAGTGACGACTGATTCAAAAATCAATAATCGATTTATCGTGATTAATCCAACTAATCGTTTCAGCCAGAGTCCGACAAAACCTTCAGTTCAGATAATTTTTATTTAAATGTTTTACTTTGAAAAACTGTAAAAAGGTGGTTCAGTCAAAATGTATCCAGCACTGGCGTTTGACTGCGCCAACAGATTAGAAACGACTCCACTCTGGTTTGTGCGATCAATAATAATGACGGAAGAAGCTGGTTCCTTCATCGTTGCTTCCTCTTACCCTGTACTGGGTAAAAGTGCAGGTAGAAGTTATTTTACAGTTTGAACAACTTCCATTCAGGGTTTTACTGCTGTGGCACAGAGTCTTCTCCTCCAGGACTGCACTCAAAACCTTTCTGACGCCTTCAGTCTCCAAGAAATCCCTACAGGATCTTAAAAAACACAGCTCCGTTCTCGATCTGTAGCCAAGCAGCTGAGCCTCCAGAGTTACACTTCACTTCTTTTTTTAAAGAAAAGAGACGAGGTTCAGCCACAGTTTTTTTTTTTTTTTCCTATGGTGCTTTATGCACATTCCAGCAGGGGTGAAAAAGACAGCAACATTCTTCAGCACAGTCGCCTGCAGGGATGCAGCATAAAACGGCAGCAGCAGCAGCAGCAAGCAGATGTTAGAAAAGCAGGAGCTTCACATAGTCCACAAGACGACAACAAATCAATCCAGACAACACGTCAGATACCTTCTCCTGTGAAAGGCCGGCTTCCCCTCACCAGGGCTACGGATGGAGCTGGGGGTGATGAAACAGAGACAAGAAGTGGTGCGTGATGGGAGAGATGAATTGTGATATGAGAGGACAGCATGGAAGAGATGAGCATGATGAGAGTTTGAGTGTTTTGGAGCAGAAGTGGTGTTGGTGCTTAGTGAAAAAAAAAAGGGAAAAAAAGTAATGATCCTAAATGGAAAGTTGTTTGGAAAGAATTGCTTCGCAAGAGTGAAGCTGGGACGTTATCCATTTGGAGTTGCTCTGGGGAAGCGTTTCTGGGCTCATTTAATCTGCGCTGAGGTCCAGTCCCAATTTTAACTGAATCCTTTTTAAGGATTTGACACACAAAATGAGAAAATGCATAAGAATGACAGGGATGCACAGACCCCTGCAGGCTTCAGCAAGCCAAATTAAAGACTTTTTAAGACATTTTAAAGTCACCTTGAGTGAAATTTAAGACCAAAAAACTAGAAATATAGAGGGTGGTTGGTGGTTGCTGTTTTACAATCAAGCATAGCAAAAACTGTGAAATTTCTGGGAGTTTGGTTGTGGGTGTTGGCTGCAGCTTTGTGTTTTTCAGACTACATGTGGCTCTCTACAGCCTTAACCCCCATAGTGCCAAACATAGAAGTTTTTTTTTCTTTTGCAGAAAATGCATTTGGTCTCGTGTGGGTTGAACTCCACACACAAGAAGTGACGAAACAGAAATAGCATGAAGTGGCGACAACTGCCAGCTCTCCTCCAGCCAAGCAGCCGATGGCATTTGTGCATGCGAAATTCTGGATTGTAGTGCAGATGTGAAAATGCGAGTTAGCAGAAAGTTTGTCGCTGTCGCCGCCATCGCGTTCCCTGTGTTGGGTTTCACCTCAAGTGGCAATAACTTTCTCCTTTCACTGTCGTCCGCCTCTCCCCTTGCATCGAGCTAATCGCTCATGACAGACAGACGCAAAAAAGCTAGCTAGCAAGGTAGCCAAGGCAGCGGTAGCCTGAACTGCGTTGAGGCTCAGAAACCATTTAAGATGTCTGATAGTGACTCAAACCTTTGCCTCACAGAAAAGTTACATATATGAGCATATATGAGATTAAATAGTCCCTTCATGCTAAAATTTAAGACGTGTGATTTCCGAATCTCAGACAAACTTAGATTTTTTTATGCAACTAAAATAAAAGCTTTAAAACTTTTTAAGGCCTTTATTTTAGATGCATGAATTAAAAAAAAAAAAATTATGAGGACGTAGGAGATTAAATAATCCCTTCGTACTGAAATTTAAGACGTGATGAATGCATTTAAGGCCAACTTAAATGTTTAAAATGAATTTAAGACATTTTAAGGTCTTCATTTTAGATACATGAGTTAAACAAACTACATTAAAGAGAATATATCAGATTAAATAGTACCTTCATACTAAAAGTAAGGTCTGTGATTAACGCATTTAAGAATTTAAGACATTTTAAGGCCTTCATTTTAGATACAGGAAATTAAGACCTTTTAAGGATGCACAGACACCCTGAAAAATCAAGAAATAAAAGATTTGCCAGTTCCCCCCCACCCCCATTAATCCATCAGAGTAAATGGTTAATCACATCAAAGTCACATAACAGCATCAAAGGAGTGCATGCTGTGGGTTGAGTGGTTTACGTCATATGTTGGTTGTTTTATTTTAATGCTTTGCATGGGGAAATGCATAGGGGAGGGAAAAAAAGTCTAATTATTCAGAAAATCAAGGGGGAAAAATTGGACAATTCCGACTAATTGGTGCATTTCCACTTTTACCATTCCCACATCTGTTTGATACACAAGAGGCCTCAGCCAGGAAACAGTTGAATTAGCGTGAAAACAGATGTGAAAGCCTGAAAGACGTCCATGCCAAGAGCAGCGACTCTCTGAAATCTGTCCTGAACGCCAACTCCTGCCGTGAGGAGGAAACTCGCTGCATAAAGCCTATAAATAGCTACCAGCACGGCCCCCTGCCGTAGCACAAACACCTTTAATCTAGAATTAATGAGCTTCAGAGATGTTTTTTGGTGGATTTCTGTTCTTTATGTCAAACTAATGTGCTGCCGGTGAGAGCTTCATATTCATCTAAGTGACACTCTAATACTGCCTTGCAGGAAAAGACCTCTTATTTTTTTAATGTATTAATCCACCTGTATCCTCGTATGCCTGATACATTTTTGTAAAAATTAAGCCTTTTTCCCCCCTGTTCCACTTCTAGTGAATTTTAATCTATTTTAATTTTTTTTAAAAATCCAATTAAGTGGGATCAGAGAACTTGATGTTAGCTGTTTAAGCAATCATGTAAAAACAGACGGTAAAGAGGAGGGAAATCTAAAGCCAAAAAGTTTCTTCACAGTTTATGTGTAAGTTTTCACTGCAGTCTTAAGTCAGTTAAAACGCTGTGTAAATGAGACACAAAAACATCTGAATGGACTCTAAAGAAAAGCAGCCAAAGTTCAAAGAACAACTTAAAAAGCTCTAAATTTTAATATATAGATATCTAAAAGCCTGGGATGGTTTTCTTGCCCAAAATTATAATTCATACACAAGTGCGCTGCTGATCCCGTCCCTGCTGAGAGTTCATCACCAGCACCATTAATTATCATTTCCTGTCACCCTCAGTCTGCCTGTGAGGAAAGCGCCACTCGCTGCTCTGCCTTCAGCTTATTTGTTCAGACACGCAGACAGTCGGACAGTGTGACGGTGTAGATGCTTATCGACACAATGCTGTCTCAGTGTCAACCTTTTTACCAGTACTTCATGACGGTTCCAAGAAACTCTTTGCAATAAATAATTCTAGTTAGATTCAACCAAACAGGAGCAGCAGGATGTACAAATTTGGTCCGATATACAAACTTAACAGAATTTGTAAATTTAGACGTGGACGTTTGGTTTTTTTATGATCTGGGTGTTTCGTGTTCGTCGGCCTTCACGGCGAAGAAAGATTTTCGCTTTTTCTCATTAGCAACTTGGCACCAAATATCAAATCTTGGTGACCTTCCTCTCATCTTTTTCTGCTTTCACTAATGCTTTGCAATGAAAAAAGAAATAAAATCCTGTATGCTTTATAAATGGTTATAAAGCATAAATAACACTTCAGTATGATGACACAAACCTTTTTTTTAAATGGAAGAAATCACCTGGTGAGGTTTTGTTTATATTTTTCATTAGGGAGCATCTTCTGTTAGCTGGAAGTTGTTGAAACCAGAAGTTTAAATACAACAACTGAAAAGAAAATACTTTTTTTTTTCTCACGGTCTAAATTTCAATCAGACCAAAATTTCTCTTGTTTTAGCTTAGTTAGAATTACTAAAATTATTGCTATTTGCTAAATAAAGTTTTAGGTAACAATTTATTTGCTTAACTTCTGATTTTGAAGACATGAATACATTGATCTCTGACACATTCACTCAGTATTGTTGCAAATAGAAATAACTGGTAATCCTAACCGACCTAAAACTAGAGAAGTCTGGTCTGATTTAACTTCAGACAGTGAGAGAATACAAATGTGTTAACTTTTATTCGGTGTATGTAAACACCGGATTTCAGCTGTATGCATGTGTCTCTCTGTGTAAACTGCTTCCCGATGAATGGCAATGAAGGCATTATTAAACTAAAAATGTGCAAAGGAGATGACATGAGCAAACTGTAATAATGACAACCTTTGATTCTGGAGACATCAGGTCTAGTGACACCTGCTGACTGAAACTCAGTAACACCAACAGGTTGGTAAAATGATTAGGAATGCACCAATAAATTGGCAAGGCACTGGAATTGTCTAATTTTTGTTGAATTTCCCTGAACTGTGATCAGGAATTTCAATACTAAACATTTCTTCAATCTTCTTTGATTGACAAATGTCAGATTAGGTACTTTTTTAATTTTCTGATACGCGTCACAATTTATGTAACAAAATCAGAACGCGTCAAAATCCCAATCAGAATGACAGACCTCTTTGAAAACAGGAAACCGGAATAATCGGTGAGTCTATAATCAAAATGAGTTGCTTCCAGCTCTCACCTCCTCTGGTTCATCTCCGATTCTCCTCCGTTGTTCTTCCCTGGACCCCAGCTGTGGCGGCGAAGCGGCGACAGAGAGCGCTTGCTGTTCCTGAAGAGACCGGAACGCCGCGGCACCTCACTCACTCGGTCTTTTGCTTCTTCTTCAGCGTCCCCTCCTCCTCCTCCTCCAGCAGCAGCAGCAGCAGAACTGTCCTGGCCTTCAGCGTTGGTAGCCTCAGACTGGATGCCCTCCTCTGGGCTCCAGCTGCCGCTCAGGCCCTGGCTGCCCTCCGGACTGGAGCTGGACGGGCCGACGCTGGCGGTGTCGTCTGTGGAGGAGCAAGAGACGGAGACCTCGCTGGTGCTGTCTCCTCCAGTCACTGGCTCGTCGTTCTGCAGACATCCAAAAAGGGAAAGACAGCTGTTAGCGTCAAACATCCTTGCCTCTTTCACACCAAACCCGTTTAGTCCACTTTAATCAAACTCTAGTTGGTTTGTCAAGAAAGTCCAGTTCGTTGGGGAGGTGTGAAAGCCCAATCGAATTCTGATGCAAACCAAAAAAAGAAAACTGATCCGTCTAAAAACCTCGGTCTCAGTTTGGGTTGAAGTGAATTCTGGTGCGTTTCGAATGCGTATGTGAAACACCGAGCGGACCGGAGACCGCTCCGAAAGCAGGAAGCCAACTACAGCGCAGGGCATTCTGGGTAAATATTATCAAGACATAAGCGCAAGTCCAGAGCTTGAGAAATGACTTGTGGTCTTTTACCAAAGACAAGAAAAGAAATCCTACTACTACTCAAATCTAATCCATTGTTGTTTACATTTTGTGAAGAAGGAAGTGGCGCTCACTGTCTTCTGAGATTTTAGTGTTGTTTCAGTCAGTGGTTGTTGGTGCAGCACCACCACAATCATTAGTTCGTTTTACACAGTGAAGTGTGAATGTGAACCGCGCCAAATGAAAAATGGAGCAAAAGTTGTGATTTTGAACCGAGTAAGGTGTGAAAACACACTTTAAAAAAATCACCAACATAAGAAAATGCACCTGAAAGTGAGTAGTTTGCTTATTAACGATCGTGGAAATTTAATTTTAAGCAACAATGAAACTGAAAAGTGTGGTGCGATAAAGTATTCAGCTCCATTTTTCTCTGAGTGCAAACAACGGCCTTCAGGAGTTGCCTGACGATTGCTAATGACTGAATAGAGACCATCTGCAACAGTTTGGCTCAAGAGGCCATTCTGCTTTGAGTTTATCTATATAGGAAATTGACGAGTTTGAGAATCTCTGCTCTAAAACACCAAGGAAGTACTTCCAAACACCTAAATTTGTGTTCCTTCAAATTCTTGAAAAGCACAGAAGCCTTCTTTCAGCCAGCTGATCAGCAATACACAGCAAAGTAACCTGCAGCCACTCCAGATAACTCCAGGCATCTCATTAAAAGCACTTTAAACTGTTTGCAAGCATGGATGGGAAACGTTTCCAGTTGTGAAACAGCTGATTTACCTCGATACTGCTAACAGGGCTCTGGGTAACCGAGATAGCCAAGGTGAGCTGCAACACACCCTAGCATGAGAACTGCTAAGCCTGTGTGTGGGTGCTTTATTTATCCTCATGGCTGACACCTTCTGCTGAGAGCTAACAACGTGTTGATTGTAAAATCTCTACAGAGGACACCCGTTCTGCACGCATTTGTCTTTCAGTACCTTACTTGACAATTTTCCTTTTGAGTTACGAAGATGGTGACGAACTCTTCAAAACAGAAGAAAGCTGTCGGTGCAAAACAGACAAAAACAAAACAAAACAAAACAAAAAAACTTTTTCTTTCTGGGTCAAGAGCAGCAACACATCAATGAAAGAATATTTAAAACCAACACACACACACAAAAAAAACAAAACACAGATTATCATGCAGGAAACAATAAAATGAAGCAAAATGGAATAATAAAACATATGCGCATCAAATCACTGCTAATTACCTGGGCTATCGCATTATATATACATCAGCACTTCTTCACTGAAGCATGTTATGAATTTAGAGAAGGCTGGAGGAGCAATTTAACCCACAGGAATGGCGCGTAATGAGGACCAAATGGCAAGGCTTAAGCGTAACGAGCAACAGCCACTTTATAGCAACACTGACATTATAACAAACACCATTAGATGATGGGGGGGAATAAAAAAAGAAAAAAAAAGAAAGCTTTCACAGATGTTGCTCAGACACACACACACACACGCTGTCAAAGTCGCAAGACTGCTGCAGCCAGGAAAGAAACCGTGTTGTGTACACTCCCTAATGAAGACACTGCAGAAAGTTTTGAGCTGCGATCGGGTGGGAACGTACTTCTGCGCCGACACTCACAGGTTCTTTTGGAGCTAATTCGTAGGTGTGAGCTTTAACTGGGTCTATTGTGCTGCCAGCTGCGGTGTTAGCGCCAACATAGAGCCGCTTCTGTTGGGAGGGCCGGGAAAAGAAAGATCCGCTTTATGCTGCAGACGCAACTTCCTCTGGGAAACGAGGGAACGTCTGGGTTTGTTGCACGCGGGGCGGCGCAGCGAGCGCTCCGGCTTTCGGAGTCAGGGAGGGAAAGGAGGAGGAGGATTCGGAGAGGATTAAGCATTTTTTACATTTCAGGCTTTCCTGGTTTTCTCATGCCCTCACGCACAACAATTAATGTTACGCTTTCTTTCCACAAGGGCACATGATGCACGCTGCGCTAACGTGTTAATGAGATCCATGCCATGGCCTTTAGAGTTATGAAACAGTCCTCTTTTTTTTTTTTATCCCTTTTCTAGTGCAGCTCGCTAAAGAAAAGCCATTTTCTCTTCAGAGGGAAGCAAAGGCGCTAATCCTCCTCTTTCAGAACTTAGCTTCTGCGGCCTTTGTTTGAAATCAAAGCTGGCGAGCCTTGCACCGCATTTCGCCCATCACTCACTGCCTGCCGTGTCCCGACCCCTCGGCATCGCAAGCCAAACACTGGCAGGCCACTGATAAACGCCACGCGGACTTCATCATTCCATCACAACAAGCTTGACGTGACAGAAAGATTGCGACGCCGAGAGAGTGAGAGAAAGATGCTCGGTTGATGTCTCGGGTCTGAGCCTTGGGGCGCTGATGAATAAGACTGAGCGCAGACGGAGAGAAACAGAGTTTGTGTTGTACATTTGAAGATATTCCCTATAGGCGCAGCTGCAGAGGCAAACAAAAATATATTCCTGCCGTTCGACACGAGCGAACCTGATGTTTGGAGCGCAGCCAGCAAAGCGAAAAGCCTCTGCTGCCAACTCAAACTGGATTCCCTCTCATTCTGAAACGTACAGGGCATGGGAGAAGTTCTCTTTTTTTTTTTTCCATGTCTTGTCAAAACCACTAACTAAAGTATTTTATTTGGATTTGATGTGATACTCCAATACAAGGTGGCTCATAAAGTGGAAGGAAAATAACTTTCTATATTTTCATTTCTGATGTCACACCGATATCGCAGCTTTCAGAATCGCGGACAACGATATTAATCTGATGCGATATCAGCATGCATAACTTTTACAAATTTTGTCGTGTGGAATGCAGGAAAGGCCTGATCGAGTCATTTTACTCAGAGAGCAACAGAAAGTAAGAGAACAACTGACCCATTAACCAGTTGGTCTGCTTACTGCATACAAGCACTGTTGGATAGAAATCCTGGGGCGGACTAAATGCTGGAGCGGAGTGCTTATATCAGACATTTTAGATGCAAATTGATACCTGTTTTCTGGCTGATATCAGACCAATATTCGATATCAATTTCAATATTGGATCAGAACTAAACCTGTCACAATAAGCAATAAATCAATAAATCACATGATAAATTAGACAAACTTAATCATTACCATTTGCATGATTTGTCTTTTTTTTTCTTTCTAAAACTAGTAGCGATGGTTACCAGACCAAAGCACCAGACAAAATCCATTTAAAAAACTCCAATTTACCTGACTTCAGAAGTGAACGCATTATTGAATAATAAGGATGCACGATGTATCGAAATATCAGTATCTGCCATTTTTAGCATATTGGTGTCCGTCCAATGAGTAAAACTGGCCAATATCAACAATAGCTCCATTTCTACCTTGTTTCAGTCAGTGCATGTGTTTCTAGAAGGACGAGGAATTGGTCATGTGATGTTTGTTTGGTCGCGTGACAGTAACAGTGAGGTGTTTATGGCAACATTATTTTTCCAACATCAGTATTGACCCAAATTTTCAGATAGATGAAAACAGGGTCAAAGGCCTCAGAACTTTATTAGGGAACATGAGTGAAGAAACACCATGAGGACCATGGAAGCTTAAAGAAGGGATGGGTTTTAAAACAGAAAAATGTTCAATTCATTATCCAAAAACAGAGTATGGCACGGCACCAGATTAGTCTATTTAATAAAATCCTATTAAAACACATTGAAGTTTACGCTTTGCACGTTTAATGCAACACATCAGCACAATATTTCTTTCACATATTCCACTTACTGAACAAAAAAATGCTGTTTCCCATAACCCTGATGTAATTTTACAGACCTTTCTGAAGATACTGTCATATCCTGGCTCTGCATTCAGGAGGCTTTCGATGTCGCTGCCAGAGTCTCTGTGAGCGGACGAGGGACAGCTGGTGGAACTGCTGGTTCTGCGGGGTAAACTGGGGAACGCCGAAGACGTCGAGGATTCTGAAAAGCACAGCGATATCTAGTTTGAACACCTCATGGGATGGAAATAAAGACAGAAATGCTGTGTGGTGAATAGTTTCCTGAAGGGATCAAAAAAACAAAAACCACAGAAGCAACAAAAATGCAAATTTTGGCAATGGAGGAGGAAAATCTCCGACGAAACCAGAAAAGGATTTTCTCAGTCTTCAGCAGTTAAACTGAAATGCTCAATGCTGTCAAAACTGGTTTTTTTTTTTTTTTTTAGTTGTTGTTTCTACAGCGTAAGCAGTGAAGACACTTCTAGCAAGCTGAGGTGGTGAGAAAAGCCTTTGGGATCGATGGCTAACCGTCCTAAATGAAGCCGTCTGTGCTGCACTGCTAACAACCTTCGCTTGTGCTCCTTAAAAGCTCTGAGGTCAAAAACTAAAAGAAAAAACCAAGTCAGGGAAAATGACAACACTCTGAAAAACAGAGCAACAGCAGAACACTTGTTGAACTTCCTGTAGTGCTTTTTATAAACGTTGTAGGTTAGAAAAACCCATGCAATTTAGAAATGTTCATGTTGACAGTTACTACTTCAATTAAATTCATCACATTAAACAGTTTCAAATCCCCCACAAATTTCAAACCCGGCGCTTAATAACTACATTCAGCTCCACTCATTAAGCTACAGTGGCCTTAAACCAACATGGCTTTTTAACAGTAGCCCACAGTAAGCCTTTTTTTTTTAAAGGTTTACACCCACCATTACTCCTAACCCCTTATTGAACCACAAATAAGCATGTCTAGAAGTCAGCACACAATTCACAACTCCTCCAGCACCAAGGTCCTGCAGTGGTGGACGGGGAGTGTGTTTGCACGGTTTTCTGTACATGTAGGGACTTGTACTGATAGTGTCCCAGGCCAAACTGGAAGAGGAAGCTTGATACACCAGCAGGCTTTCTTTAGCCAGCAGCCAGGAACAGCTGGATGAGGTCATCCACCCAGTTTGTTGTTTTTGCGATATTCCAGATGCCTATTTGGAGCTAAAGATGTGGAAGTTTGTCTCTTGGGAACATTTTGCATTCAATGGACTCATGGCACAAGAGGAAGTAGTTTCTTATTTTTATTTATTTATTTTAAAAAGTGTCTGTGTGCTCATCCTTCAGGATGTGGAAATAAGCTTAAAGCTACTAGGCATATATTTTTTTTTTTTTTTGCCTTTTTTATTGCCTTTGGAACAACATGTCATGTTTCACTATTTTTGATATTTTAGCAAGATGATCATCTTGACAGTCTACTTTATGTAAAACAGACTTCTCTTCACAGATCTCTGCGGTGACATCACAAAAGGTAACTTTTTCAAAGAAGAGAAACAACCAATCAGAGCTAGGAGGTGGGTCTTAGCACTGTCAATCTCCCTTGAATGCACCAGTTCATCTGGTCCACCTCCACCCTTTAACACTACAGCTTCTTCCTGTAGAAGACTCTGCCGTGAATGCTAGGCTAGTTAGCATAGCCACTGATGACGGTGGATAAACAATTTTCCTGTAATAATAAGTTGTTTGTCTACCATTAGCACACTGAACAGCAATTACACAAGGTTGATTGACAGCGCTAAGACCCTCCTCCTTTAATGTTTTTGGTTGGGAGACTTGACCAATAATAGCTCAGGGACGAGGTGAAGGGGAGAAATCTTTTCACAGATAAGTGTCAGTTTACACTTTAACAAAAAATATGCTTTATATATATAAAAGTTACATACTGCAGCTGTAAACCATCAAGATTCAGAGCTGCAAACACAGCCAGCTGCTGTAACATCTTTGCTAGTAAGCAAAGTAAGGCACAAAAACATGAAACCTTGAATAGCATTGTCTAAAATATTCCAACTGTATACTCTCATGAAATCTTAAATTTGCACACTGGCAGATTGACAAGTAGCGCCTACATAAACCTAAACATTAAGGCCTGACTGGAGGGAGGTTCGGATAAAGAGGAAAGAAGAGGTCAATGTTGTCTTTAACATCCCACTATAGTCTGAAACACAAACTGCTCAGTTATCAGACGCATAGCTCATCAATATTTGGTTAAAACACCATTAAACAGACCAGTGGTTAATAACATGCATTACTTTTACAGCAGGTGGTCTTGATTTCATCTCGTTTCCAGTTCAGCTCATAACAATCTTACTTTTTTAGATAATGAGAAGTCTTACTCTGACCTTTAATTCCATGTTGGCATATGATTTTTTTTTTTCTACCGAGCAGCGTGTGTTTGAAAACCTTTCTGGCCTTTATCCGGTAAAAGCTGGTGGGGACGCCAGAGCACACAGCGTGTTTGCTACAGACTCCACCAACTCACACCTGTTCACCAAAACTAGCAGAGGACTGTGAGCTCTGACAGCTGTCTTCCTCCCGCTGCTCTAAACAGAGTCCACAACACACACACACAGCAAAGAAAGGACAGAGAGAACAGGTGGAAAACGCTCCGATGCGTCTGTGGGTGGTGGAGGTTGCTGCTGAATGTGAAGCTGCTCACACACCTGTGAGCACTGCATTAAATCAGTATGGAGTAATAGAAACATGGAGCCTTTTACTGAATTGCTGTGTGTAGGCATGTCCAACTTTTACATGGTGATAGTTACGTACTTGAAAACTAAGGTTAGGTTAGGGATTTATTCAATGCCTTTGCTAAAGTCTGTCAATCTAAATAAAAATAGCCATAATTTAACATTCAGTAAGTCAATAAGCAGAGGAATAAATGTTGCTTTTATGTTTTGCATCGTGTCAGATTTATGTGTAAACTCGATAAACTTGTTGGTAGTTTGTTTTATTTAATCAAGGTTTTCTTTTTGTAAGAATTCTGTACAAATCAATGCAAGTATTCAGATCTGACAGAAGTTAAGGAGTTTTTAGTTAATTTTGAGAAGTTACGCTAAATAAAAAATTGCAATTAGAGGTGGATGATATGGACTTAGCATTTTATTATGATATTTTGTGGTACTATTGAGATCACGATAAAAATTATGATGGAAAACTTTTTTTTTTTTTTAAGGTAACAGCAATCAGAGCGTCACAAACAAATACGGCTCTTGAAAAACGTTCCCATTTTAAATTGGCTTCTTCAGGATGGCACTTACAGAGGTGTGATTTATAATACTAAACTGCACACAGTAACTACATTTAATCATATTTTAAAATTTACTGATGTTTGTGGAACAAATTGTGGAGAAAATAGTAAAAAACAACATTTCCAATAATGTCAGTTTATGGTATTTTGTATGTTTTAATATCACTAATGGAAATCTATAAATGTATTAACAATAAATCAAAAAATATTATCGTGATAAGAAATGTTCAGGATAAATGACAGACAATGCTATAAATGTCCAAGCCTAATTACAATAAATACGATACCAATTAATTTAAAAATACCAGTCAGTGCACATGATTTGTTTGGTCACAAAACAGCTTTTTTATTTCCTGTTAGCTAGGTAAAAATAAAATCAATAAAATCAGATGAAATCAAAAGCTGTGGATTAATTTTCATTTTCTCTCTCGGCCAGCCTACACTGTTTTTTTTTGTTTGTTTTTTTTGCGGTTAGTGAAACATCCTGCTGAATGTACACGGGGCTGTGTTCTGCAGCTCTGTGTGTTTTATGCACATCTAAATTCCAGTCAGCATGTTGAATTAAAAAACAGGTGAGAAGTCGAAAAGCCACTGGATGTTTCTGTGGAAGCTTTGAACAGAAACAGATCCTAATCAGTTAGTGAGCTTCCTGCTGCTCCCTACAGAATTTGCTGTATTATACACACATATAAAGGCTACACTACATTTGCCAGTGAATAAAGTAACATGAATAAAAAAAACACAACCGTTTCAGAGTTTTGATAAATAAAAAAAAAAAAAATTAAACGTGATCTAAATATTTTTATTGAACAGAAAAAAAGAGCAGGAAAGTTAGCAACTGCTGTTTTTACTGATTAATTAAGGACGCCCGATATATCGGTACCAACATCGGTATCGGACCTTTTAGTCATTTTTAACATGTCGGTATCTGTCCGTTGACCGCTGGACACAGGCACCAGCACCTCTTGCAGCATCCACTAGCGATAAGCATGTACGATAATGGATGAGATGGATGAATGGTAAATACTGGTTAAAAGTCACAATATTATTGGATATTGATATCGCTACATCTTTTCATATTGAGGTATCCCTATTGGTAATGTTATAATATCTATAACATTAATTCTTCATTTTAATTTTTGACATGCAAATGCTACATTCAGTAGTGGTTTTAAGATTAAGACTAATCTCTGGCCAGACACAAGTCAGAACATCAAAACTTCTTAAGCCAGCTGTCTGACAATGCACAGCAACAGGTGAGGGAGGGGCAGCTTTGTTCACCACATCACTTTTTTATGGCATTCCATTAAAAATTATTTAAACTGTAGGAGATGGAATATTTTAGGAGTTTTAAGACCATAACTTTTAAAATTCTTGGTTGACCTTAATATCAGTAATTACAAATTTAACATTAATTTATGTTAAACTAAAGGTTTGTTTGTAGTCTGCAATGCTTCGCTTTTTGACAGCCGGACTCTCCACTCCTGCACAACTAACATTACTGAATAAAACTGAGCTGAACAGGACACAGCCTCGCCCAGAAAAGAAGGAATATCATGGAACATCCCAATCAGCGGCGCAACACGATGACTCAGTGTAGACCAGGAAACCGCAACACAACCTGGCAGGATCCCAGCCTCAGTTGCTCCGGCAAAGAAAAGAGCCAGTAATAAAGTGTCAGGGGAGACGCTGCTCCGCGTTCACTCCGAAACCACAAACACGACCTGTCCTACACAGAAGTGAAGAAACTTTGGTTGTTTGTTCCTGTTTCCCTGACTCTGTTTGTGAAATTGCGTCTGTGAATATTTAATGTCTAAGGCAGTCCTTCACCATTGTAATTAGGTTTTCAACAAACTTCATTAGTTGCTCAGAAGTCCACTCTCTGTCACGAGAGTTGAAACGAATATTGAGAA